AAATCAATCCACCCTGCTTATGTCTCTCTTTGCCGGATTAAAGATCCTTTTAGTAGCCAGTATTTTCTCCTGGTGAAGCTATTTGTATACTGTAATCACATCACCTCTCCATTTTCTTTGTGATAAACTAAGCAGATTAAGCTCTTTAAGCCTCTCCCACTACACCACTTTCTCCTGCACTCAAATCATCTTTCTGGCTCTCTCCTGTGCCCTTTTAGAAATGTGGACACCAGCGCTGGACGCGGTATACCGTATGGATCTCTCCAAGGCTGTGTACAGAGAGAGAAAATCACCTCTCTCCTCCTACTCCGTACTCTTCTTTTTAGACACGTAGGTGCTGAAACTAGGACTGTGGGAGGTGCTGCCGCACCCCCTGCCTTGAAGCGGTTTCCATCGTATACAGGGTTTGCAGTTTGGTTCAATGACTCTCGGCACCCCCATGTGAACGTTCCAGCCCCGCTGCATCCAACGATTCCAGTAGCCCATTTTGTCCCAGCATCGCAGGACCTAGGACTCCTCCATCCCAGGCCCAGCCCCATACCATCAGGACTGTGGGAGGTGCTGCCGCACCCCCTGCCTTGAAGCGGTTTCCATCGTATACAGGGTTTGCAGTTTGGTTCAATGACTCTCGGCACCCCCATGTGAACGTTCCAGCCCCGCTGCATCCAACGATTCCAGTAGCCCATTTTGTCCCAGCATCGCAGGACCTAGGACTCCTCCATCCCAGGCCCAGCCCCATACCATCTCTTCCTTTCCTCTCCCTGCCTCTGCTCTGCCCCCGCTCCACCCCCTCCTGCCCCCGCCCCCTCCTACTGCCATTGCACCCCTTCCCACAAGCCTCCTCCCCAAGAGATACGACCCAGGGGGTCACTGGTGGGCTCCCCCCTTCCTCGCTTGAGCCGGCCCCCAGCTGAGTCTCTTGGGAGAGTGGAACAGAGCGGGCTGAGTTGCTCCACTTCCCAGCAGAGTGACCTGGCTGCGAGAGGCCGGAGCAGAGCAGGCCGGGGCTGTGGCGCTCTGTACCCCACGGCTCCCGGCGCTGCTGGGGAGCATAGGGGCGGGTCTGACGCTGCTGGCACCGCTCCCTGTGGAGCCCCGAAAGCACAGGGCCTGGGGTTGCTGCCTCAAACCATCCTGTGGACGAGATGGCTCTGAATGTCGACATAGTGGAAACCAACTCGCAGTGGGGTTTTCTTTAATTATGCATGTAAAATAACAAACAGTGTTACTCCACCCTGACCCAGCTCCTTCCCCTGACCCCTCCCCCCCCCAGGTTTTTCTTTTGTAGCCACACCAATTTTTAGTGGCTCGCATTTGCACCATCAGTGCATGCACTTTCACTGCTGGAGGCATGGCTGCAGGTCAGGGTCTTCAATGCCCTTCTCCCCCTCCCCCCACCCCACCCTGGACGGTAGAGGACGGTGGCAGCAAAACCCATTAATATTGCAGCTAAAGTTCCCGCCAGACCTGCCCATGGTCCTTGGAGCATCCGGGCGCCGTGCTCAGGCGCCAAGCACCACGCTTACTGCAGGGTAGCCTGAGGGCTGGAAGCTCTGAGCGTCACATCCCGGCTGTCCTGCACTGTTGGCTTTGGTCTGTGCCATGGCCGCATCCTCGCAAGGGAAATACCAGTGTGTTGGAGGAGACAGGCCAGTGAGGGATAGTCAGGCAGGGAGAGGAGGGGGATTGGAATGGGAGAAGCTTTATTTCCAGAAACGGAAGTTACATGGTCCCGTGGGCAGGACACCGGACTCGGAAATCGGTTCCTGTTTCTGACTCCGCCATAGATCTTCTCTGTGACCTTGTGCAAGTCACTTCATCCCTCTTGTCATGGGGGGGCGGGAGAAGGCCTATCTAGGGAAGGCAAGATAAAGCCCCGCCCCTTCCACCCAAAACCACACACCTTCTTCCCGAGACCATGCCCTTTCGACCACCTCCCCCTCCCAGTCAACCCCAGCGGAGGGCCAGAGCTGCCGCACTGCAGGCCTCGCCCTCCCGGGATGCTGGGGAGCCGGGCTGTGCAGCCCCAGTC